AATTAGTTTCGTATAAAATATTACCTTGCGAATAATTTCGATTAACCAATGATATTTTTGCAATATCACGGGATGATATACAAAAATCAGCCAATTACAATGAAAGCCCGCTATGCTGCGCTAAACGGCATACGTATTATAGTATTATAATAGTTTTTGCTAGGATTAGGGTGTGAACATATCAGTTTCTTTTAAATTTATTAAAATAAAAAAAAAATTGGTTAAATCGTTCTGCATCCTGATTACTTTACGAATATTAGACAGATCATAATCATGGAATCGAAAGATTAAGTTGCCCAGAATCTAAAAATTAAATAGATAACCATTTAGCATATAGAATAATTTTCTATAATTTCGCGCACTTTTAGTTGAAAAAGTGAATAATTACTTAGGTTTTGAAAGTTAAGCAGTTTACTTGTAAATTTTTCTTGAGAATAAATTTGTAAATTTATTTTTATTGATGGGATATTTTCATCTGCAGATTGAAATGCTTTTTTTATCGTTAATTCAATATCATTTAGATTTTCACTATACATCAATCTATACCAACTCTCTAATTCAAAATGAATGTCATATGCAGACGGTCTGTTGGAAGGATTAGCATCCATACATTTTTTTGCCAATTCGATATAACATTCAGGCACGCCTTTAGCAAATTCCGGACGAAAACCGTTACATATATTGATAGCTAACCCTTCATCGAATTCAACATTGTAATGAGGTGGCATTCCAATAGAAATTTCCGCCATAATGATGCCGAAACCATAAATATCAGATGCTGTTGTATATGATTGTTTGCACAATACTTCTGGTGCAACATATGGCAATATACCATAGATACCTTCTTCCGACTCTTCCTTCTTTCTTGATAATCCTAGATCTGTTATATAGGATTTTAATGTGCCTTTAATATGCTCATTTTGCAATATGTTTCCACTATGAAAATCACCATGAACATATCCTGCTTTATGGATTAAGTCTAAATCATTCACGATATCCATCAATATTTTCAATTTATTTTTCCAATTAAGTTCAATAAAGTT